TTCGGGTTTTTTTTCCTTTTTTTTTTTTTTTTAGGTTGCTTTTGCTATAGGGCGCGTGTGCTCGCCAGACAGACACAGAGAGACAGAAAGCGAGAAATCACCCCCCAGGGGGGATGGCCACGCCGCAATCCCTTCTCCTCCATTCTCCTCTCGGGATCTTGGGCACGCACGCACACGTGCCCGGCGTGAGTTTTAAGCCACCAGGTCCGGGATGCGAACCATGGTCGACTACGTGAGAGTCCAGCAACATAGCCATTACACTAACTGCTGGTCCCCAAAAGTCGTGATTTCTAATAGCAGGACAGAGAAATGTCTCTAGCTAATACTGAATTTTATTCAGGGCAAATACATTGTCTATGTATAAAACACAGATGTTGGGGCAGCCCATGACCTGGTAGTTAAGGTGGCTGGATCCTACACGGCCACCTTCATTGAGTACCATACATGGCAGCATGAGAAACATGTCAGACACGTGTGAGTGCCCAAAATCCTGAAAAGAGGGAGAAATGGAGAAGGGACTGAAGCATGTCCATTCCCCACAGGGGGTGCTTCCTCACCTTCTCATCTCTCTCCCTCCCTGATGAGCATACACACCTCTAGCAAATTAAACACACACACACATAAATGCAAATACATATAACATGAATATAGACAGGAATTCTGTAAACATTACCAATGAGGGGCTAGTCTCACACAGAATCATAAATTTAACAGACTTCTGAGTGCTGCAAAAACCACGGTGTTTGCAGCAACAGGAGCAGTTAATGCTTTCTTAACCTTCACTCTGCACTAACCACATAATCTCCACACACCTGGGACAGCTTTTGTCATCCTTCTCACTGTACAAATGGGGAAAGTGAGCCAGCAGGTAGCGTGGTGGTTAAGGTGGCTGGATCCCCACATGGCTGACCACGGTTCGAGTCCTGTACCTGGCAGCTTGCTTTCTCACTTTCCTTCTGTCACTTGTCTCTCTCTGGTCAGTTTTAAAAAATAAAAAATAAAAATGAAATGAATAAAATAAAATAAAATAATTATTTTTAAAAAAAGATTATTTTTAAAAAATGGGCAAAATGAAGCTCATGGGGTCAAGGCAGCTGGCAGAGTCACTGGCTGGGGGGGCAGCGGGAC